ACACAAATTACAGCTCTAACCTCACAATCAGCACAAAGTACAGCCTCTGAGGACTCACCAACAGTGACTAGAACACTTTCTATTGCAACAGCATCCACAACAGAATCTGTGTCCACATCAGCAACAACCTTAACCCAAAGTACAGCATCTGAGGATTCTTCAACACAAAGACCATCACAAACTGCACTCATAACTTCAAAATCCACTCACAGTACAGCATCGGAGGATTCACCAACTGTAACATCATTTACAACACAAAGTATGATCACATCTACACCAACACAATCTATTCTAATAACAACAGAATCTTCATCAACATCAACCGCAAGTACAACATCTGAGCATTCGCCTACAGTGACTACAACACCATCTATTGCAACATCATCAATAACACAAAGTGTGATCGCAACTACACAAACACAATCTATTCTGCCCACAATTGAATCAGAAGCAACATCAACCCAAAGTTCACCATCCGAAGGTTCAGAAACCCAAAGACCAACACAAATTACAGCTATAACCTCACAATCAGCACAAAGTACAGCCTCTGCGGACGCACCAACAGTGACTACAACACTTTCTATTGCAACAGCATCCACAACAGAATCTGTGTCCACATCAGCAACAACCTTAACCCAAAGTACAGCATCTGAGGATTCTTCAACGCAGAGACCATCACAAACTACACTCATAACTTCAAAATCCACTCACAGTACAGCATCGGAGGATTCACCAACTGTAACATCATCAACAACACAAAGTATGATCACATCTACACCAACACAATCTATTCTAATAACAACAGAATCTGCATCAACATCAACCGCAAGTACAACATCTGAGCATTCGCCTACAGTGACTACAACACCATCTATTGCAACATCATCAACAACACAAAGTGTGATCACATCTACACCAACACAATCTATTCTAATAACAACAGAATCTGCATCAACATCAACCGCAAGTACAACATCTGAGCATTCACCTACAGTGACTACAACACCATCTATTGCAACATCATCAACAACACAAAGTGTGATCGCAGCAACACAAACACAATCTATTCTGCCCACAGTTGAATCTGAAACAACATCAACCCAAAGTTCACCATCCGAAGGTTCAGAAACCCAAAGACCAACACAAATTACAGCTATAACCTCACAATCAGCACAAAGTACAGCCTCTGAGGACTCACCAACAGTGACTACAACACTTTCTATTGCAACAGCATCCACAACAGAATCTGTGTCCACATCAGCAACAACCTTAACCCAAAGTACAGCATCTGAGGATTCTTCAACGCAGAGACCATCACAAACTACACTCATAACTTCAAAATCCACTCACAGTATAGCATCGGAGGATTCACCAACTGTAACATCATTTACAACACAAAGTATGATCACATCTACACCAACACAATCTATTCTAATAACAACAGAATCTGCATCAACCGCAAGTACAACATCTGAGCATTCGCCTACAGTGACTACAGCACCATCTATTGCAACAACATCAACAACACAAAGTGCGATCACATCTACACAGACACAATCTATTCTGCCCACAGTTGAATCATTAACAACATCAACCCACGGTTCACCATCCGAAGGTTCAGAAACTCAAAGACCAACAGAAATGACAGCTATAACCTCACAATCAGCACAAAGTACAGCCTCTGAGGACTCACCAACAGTGACTACAACACAACACATTTCTCAATCTGTGTCTAGAGAATCCACGAAACGAGCCGTGTCTACAACTACACCAACACAATCAGCTTTGTCCACAATAGAATCAGCAACAACCTTAACACAAAGTACAACACCTGAGGATTCATCAACACAAACACCAATACAAACTACATTCATCACCTCAAAATCGGCACACCATACTGCATCTGAGGATTCATCACCAGTGACTGCAACGCAACCAACTACACCATCTATTGCAACATCATCCAGTACACAATCTATTCCGACCATTATGGAATCATCAACAACCTTATCCCAAAGTACACAAAGAACATCTGAAGTTTCAGAAATACAAAGACAAACTCAAAGTGCAGCATCTGAATATACAACAGGACAAATCAAACAGTCTATTCCTACAGCATCCACACCACAAACTGTGTTCACAACTACACCAACAGAATCTACCCTGCCCGCAACAGTATCAGGAACTAACTTAACCCTAAGTACAGCATCTGAGGATTCATCAACAGTGAATACAATACAACAAACTACACCATCTGTTGCAACAGCCTCCACAACAGAATCGGCGTCCCCAACACAAACTACACCACCTATTGAAACAGCATACACAACAACTACACTATTGGCAGTAGCAATGACAGTATCATCTTCAGCAGAACCAACTAACTTTATGGCATCTACAACAGAAACAAGCATAAGAACCACACAACCAACACCAGTCACAGAAACAAGACGCACAACACCAACAGGCATTGTAGTGTCGACAACAAACAAACAAGACAGAAGGGAATCAACCACAACACGATCCCAGACTACACTGTCTGTAAAAACAATGCCACAAACTACAGTCAGAGGAATGACACAAACTACAGTCCGAGGAATGAAACAAACTACAGTCAGAGGAATGACACCAACAATGGCTGCAAATACACAATCAGCAGGTTCAGTAACTTCATCTACACCTAGATCAACCACAGTTCACAATGAGCCTACAACACAAACCGCAGGATCCGTGGAAACACAGACCAAGCTGTTTTCGCCAACATTAGAATCAACAAGAACATTGGCAAAAACTACACCGTCCTTGGCAACAAGTCTAAAAAAGTCAACACAAACTACAGTTACAAATACACCAGCAACAACCCCAGTAAAAGCAACAGCATCTGAATCAAGTGGGCCAAGAACAATTCACACAACTAAAATACAAAGTAAATCCATACAAACACACACTGTAGATTCTGTCACAACAGTAACACAAGCCACCCCCTTGGCAGCTGGACCTTTTCCACAAAACACAGAGACAACCACTTTGTCAACATACCTGGCAACCCAATCTATGATACCTTTTAGTGAGTCCAAGCTATTCAGAACAACATCTGCTGAGTCATCTTCAGGAAGCACCCCTCCACAAAGTTCAGCCTTTCCCAGCACACCCAGTGCGTCAGGAACTACTTCCATAAATACCCAAACTAGTGGACAAACATCATTTCCTTTCAACACACTTACCAAGCTACCATTTGATACATCAACATCACATACTGCACAATCAACGAGCAACCCCTCGGCTTCACAACAAAAACAACAACAACAAAGTGTCTCATTTGTCCCGTCCAGAGGATCTTCAAACCCAACACCGGCTCAATCTGTGCGTGTATCTCAGACCGACAGTACTGCACATGCAGCTACAACCTCGACTTCTTTATCAACAGAAGGAACACCTACCCAAAGTCCAGGTATTAATATTGTTAAAGAAACAGTGAACAGTTCTCCATCGGCCACGCCATCCAAAATGTCAGTTGCTGCTTCTGCATCTATGCAATCCAACTACCCTCCATCAGCCGGGCCTGTGTCTCTAACCCCGCCCTCTGACTCCCAAAAACCTGTGACGACAACAACGGACGGTGCCACACACTCTACTCTTCCTAAACTTTCGTCATTTTCCTCAGACGCATCCACCATCAATCAAGCCAAAGTTGACTCTAAGACTGTTTCCTTACCTGAGGAAAATACAGTGGTCTTCAGATATTGCCCGAAGATTGCTGCAGTGAGGCCGCTTGCCTTTGATCACCCAACTGTCTATAGGACCTCAATTCCAGTTTCAGATTCCTTCAATGAGGAGCAACACCAGCCAGGTCAAAACAGCATAAATTAAAGATTAATACACACGCTCAAGAAAAAAGGGCTAGCTAACCCTATCACATGCAGGAAGTGAGAGGTAGTGATCATTTCTTAAGAGGTGCTGGTAGACCAATTGTGTTAGTTTTGGAAATAACCAGGCTAGCTATTTCCTTTGTAGAGTTGATTAGGAATAAAACCTGACAGGACTCATAATCTTAACACTTCCTATTCTCCCAAAGTGGACAGGTTTTTAAAATGTACATCCCTATTTCTCTGAAATTCCGTTACACATTTAGCTGATGATTTTATCCAAAGTGACATCCAATAAAGCAATCAAACTTGGAGATACAATCTCACAGCAGCAGGAATCATCTCTTTCTATTCTCCTGTGTGTACTCTTCAAAGATTACATTTATATATATAACAATAATACTAATAAGAACATTTTGAACATGTTATAAACAAATCGAACACTTGATTGAAATTGACAGATTTTTTGTGTTTTTGTTTCTGGGTTCCTTTTCCATTTAATTTCTAGTTAAGTTTAGGTTATCAACTTGTCGTCCTGATATTTCTGTTATAATTTCCTCCCTGATTGATTTTTGCTCATTTTTTTTCTCTGTTCATACTGTTATGTATTATGTTTTTAATCTCTAAACAAATAAACAAATTATTCATCCATACAGATCGCTTGTCATGCTTTTAAATAACAATATTCATTTTTAATCCTCTCTTTATTCAGTCTCTCCTTATTCCCCAACATCAATCAAAACACTTTTAATGTGTATACATCAATAAACACTTAATGCACAGAAAGCATGATTTAGTAGATATATATCAGCTCTACCTGTATTGGATATATGGTTATATCTTCCTGTAAGTTAAATGACTGAATGCATCAGATCTGCAGATTGTCCATGAACGTTAGAAATTAAACTCCCTCTGAATCTGTGCTGGAATATTTGTATGGGTCCTCGTGTCACAACACTTCATTCACCTTCACAGCCACACAAGACCTGAACAGACAGCTGGCATCACCTCTGAATAACGATTAAAATATTGCAAATATTACAATTATTTTGTATAAGTTGTGACTTACATCCCTGTCAATATTCTGTACGAAGGTATTTTATTCAGTTGTAGAATATGTTTGACAAAATACAAAAGCAAAGTTATAAGGTATGGGGGCTCAATTCAGGTAGATACAAACAACTGATAAACACATATATTCACAAAGGAGAAAACTGCATTCTAGCAAACTGCGTCACAGTAGAAATATGTAAAACTATATAAGGATTACTATGTAAGGCCATTGGCTTACTATAATGTAAGCCAATGGCCTTACATACTCCTATAAAGATTAGCTACAGTAACACTACACATCACTGATGTTCTTGTTTTTATAGGCCAAAGCCAGCTCATTTCAAAGAGTAATTGAAGCTAGAGATACTCATCAGGGTTTGACACAGGTCTCAGGTATCACTGCCAAACAAGAATTTAATTCTGAAAACAGGTTTGCTAAAATTAGATCAATTGCTCAAACAGCAGGTGCGGCGCAAAAGAAACAGCGGAGGATTTTGACCACACACCACCAACATGTCCTCTGTAACTCGTCGCCCAATCACTGCTGTGGAAATATGTTCTGACTAACAATGTGATATGTCCAACAGTTCCCTATTCAAAATAACTTTATTCCTTTCCATTTCACTTTATTTGATGTGTCTTATTAGTTTATCATAATTTTCTGTCACACCTTGGTACGATATGCAACAGGGAATATGACGGAGGAATGAAGCAGGAGGACTTTTCACGAGACAAAAGAAGGGAGTATTCAACAAGATGAAGCCAACAAACCGTCAAATTAAATATCTTCATCTGAAAGATGCGTATAATTTCTGAGTCATGTCACAAAGCACGGCACTATATAAAGGCGTTAGAGGAACAAGCCACATACAGTGTACCAATGTTTGCAAGGTCAATCACAGAACAAATGAAGTGAAGTACGTCCTTAAAGAAAAACTGCACGACACCTAAGAGAGGATACAGTTTTTTTTTTTAATAGTTTATTTTTAAGTTAGGACACAGCTTTTTCATATTCTTATTTGGGTAAGTAAATATTCATATTTAAATGTTTACCTATGTACACATTGTGTGCTATTATAAACAGGTTTACATCTTAAGGGAAATTCCTAACAAGCGGTAATTGAAGTGTCAAAAATGAATCCAAATTTTGTTTGTGTTTCATTATTTATAAATGTTTCATTATAAAATGCTTTATTATACCTCATCATATTGCAATTTTTATTTCAATATACTTTATAATTTGTACACGTAGTTGCATTACAAAATAAGAAATAACGTGGCTTTATATTAGTCTGGTACTGCTAACCCGTTCCACAGTGAGACTGCAGTTCTGTACACACAGTTTTCTGTTAACCCTTGTGCGGTGTTCATATTTTCGTTATTCAGCCAGTGTTCGTGGGTCTGGTGGATCCGCTGCCTTTTTGGGTTTCAATTCAACACAATAAAACTATTTTATGTTAAAATACTCAACAGATGTATTTCATCCCAATTACAAGCAATATAGACAGCATATATGGTTAATATTTGCCCTTTTACATTTGTTAGATCACATTAATGAATTAAAGTGCTACTTGTTTTTTTGCCCGTGTAGGTACACATTTGACAACTTCCACAGTTTTGTTAACCCCGGGTCCAGTATGTACATCCTGTATGTAATATAAATGTGTAGGTGGGGGGGGTGTACAGTGGGTGGTCATTGAAAATGTGTTCTGATATATATTCTTCACATAATTTGAGCCAAGGCCATTGAGTGTGAGTTTGAAAAAAATATTGATGTTATAATTTTTCTTTAGATAAATAATGAAAACGGGTCCCTGCGGGAAGAAGGGGTGCTGGGGATGCTGCAGCACCCCCTGTTGGCGAGTGGTGGACATTTGAAAAACTGAGTGACCACCTAAATAAAAATGATTAAACTACATAAAATAGTTATGATTTTACTTAAAATAAAATTAGCTGTATACAGTAGCATATAATAGTCATAGTATATATTTGT